TATGTTAATATCCTCCTTAGAAAAGAAAATTATAAAATCCTTGTATTGTTTGGGTGGGGGATTACGATAATGTTTAACTTTAGACTTTAGGTTGAATATGTATGGTAAATTTTCTAGACTAACCGCTAAAAAGATCTCTGGAGGGACTAATCAAGAAAAAAAGAGAAAAGGCACAAATAAATAATATGAACAATATAAAAGATACAGCAGAAATGACAAAAGAAGAAGATACGATTAATTTGAAAACTTAGATGAACTGGACCGACTAATTTATTTACTGGATGAGCCCACTAATAACCTTGACCAGACAAACATGGTAGATGACAAAAGGTGCAAAAATCCTAAACAATTTATTAGTAAACCAAATGAATAAAAAAAGATTTAGCGTAAGATGAAAATGTTGGGCTTACTCCAGAAATGCAAGAGCCAATTAACATTAGAAAGCTTCCATAACGAGGTAGCCCTATGACACTGAGGGGCCAGCTCAGTCCTCTTTGTTAGCCTTAGAGAGAGGGGGAAGCTAAAGGTAGGTCCCCTGGGGATGGGGGGGCAGTCTCTTGAGGGGGCAGGTGGGGGAGGAGTCTGGGGCCTGTGAAGGCTCCCACCTCGCATATATACCCTGCTACAAGAACACACATGATAACTCTGAGGTAGGTACAGTAACTTCATTTTACAAATGTTCTAAGGCTAAAAAAGGTTAGGAAACTTGACCAAGGTCCCAGTGCTAGTAAGTAGTTGAGCTATAATCCAAAATCAGGTTGGTCTGGATCTTCAGCTCATGTTCTTAACCACTAGGCAGGCCACTGTCCCTTTAATATTGATAGTAGTAGGTGTTCAATAAATGGTAGCCAGGTGCCAGGTAACTCACATATGCTCTAACACCCACAACAACTATCCAAGGTAGGTATTCAACTCATTTTACTGATGAGGAAACTGACACTTAGAGAGGACAGGTGACATGGCTAAGGTCACACAACCAAGACATGAGGGCTCCATACCTTGAAACTGGGCTTACCAGACTCCACAACCAACTTGTCCTAGATTATTACAGGTATGAATGAATCCCAGAGGAGGTGAACCCTCATGTCTGAGGACAAGACAGACAGGCCCTGCCCATTTCCTGAAAGATGAATAGTCTTCATGCCACAGCTGGTATCAGGAGTCAGAAAAACTCCTCTCCACAATGAGATCTCCACACAAGGAGCTGAGGGAGACTCCATAACCTCCAGGACAGTGGGAATGACCCCAACCCCAGGGGAGGTACAAAGGAAGCAGGTAACATAGACACCATCATCTAGATAAGGAAGCCAGGAACACTGGAAGCTGGTATGAACAAGTTTGTGGACAGTTGTGTCCAACCAACTTTTCATTACCTTTCTGAAGAGTTAACAGATTAGCATGTCAAGGGAGGTCACAAACTCCTCATGTCAGAATTTTGGTATGTGCCAGAGTCTCCTAGAATGATCTCGTAGAAAGAAAGGTGAACAGTGAATGCAGTTAGGTTGGTGTACACCATGCTGCTTCCCATCTTTGGGCCTTTGCCCATGCTGTACCCTTTGCCTGGACTGCCCTCCTCTCCCTTGTTAGTCACCTAGAAGATTCCTACTCATCTTTTTAGAGTCAGTTCATATACCATCTCTTCCAAGAAACCTTCCTCGGTCCCCTGAGCTGGGTCATGTGTTCCATAGGGGCTCTCACAGTCTCTCGTACCCATCACTATTACTGCATTGACCACACTGCCCTGAAATGATGGTTCTGTGTCTGAGAACACACTTTGTTCATCTCTGTGTCCTCGGTGCGGAACCGGAGGCCTGATACATAGTAGGTGTTCAGTCAACTTTGCTCAAGTGAACTTATAACTAGCTGGCTGGTTAAACCCAGTGTGATAATGATTAATGAACTGATGTTGGCCCGGGAGGGGGGGGGTCTCTAGGGGTGTGCCACAGGGACCTGTGTGTATTGATGGCATTCTGATGAAATTAGTGGGTTACACAAAAACCAGGGGAGTAGGCCACACATTAAACAGAATTAGTATCCAAACAGTCATGGACAAACAGAAACACTGGAGCCATGCTGGCTCCCAAAGGGGTTAGGGAGAAAGTCAGGACTAAAACCTCACAATCTGTTGTAGCCTTTACAATGGAAAAAAGTTTTTCTGAGCTGAAACTTACTTCCGTGAAGTGTCCACCATTATGACAGCACTTACTATGTACCAGGCTTTATACCAGCTCCTGTACAATTCCCCCACAACCCAAGTACCACAGAAAAAGTCTAATGGGGGTGATCTGCTTGGCCTGGGGACCAAGAAACAGTTTCTCACAGGCAGGAGAAAAGAGGATCCTAGCTGGGACCAGAAGGCCTAATGAGAGCTGGGGCTTTGGTTTTCACTAAGTAACAGGCAGGCATGACAACACAGCAGTTTGAGGGCTGTTTGAAAAAGAGGCAGGTCCACCTTTAGGAGCCCAGGATACAGAGCGAGTCATACATGGGGCTTTGTTACCACCCTACCAACTCTGAACTTGCTTCTCAAAAGAACCCAGGAGCTACCCTCACTGCTTCTTTACAGCCCTCACCCTTCTGAACAATGACACCCAAGCTCCTTTGCATGCCATGAAAGGCGTTCATGCCTAGCCTAGTTCTCAATGCATTTCTCCCTCTATCCTCCACATTAATTCATTCATCAATTCATTCAGTTTATTCCACAAATATTTATTGAGTGTCTACTAAATATTACTATGCACTGTTCTTGGCACTAGAGATACAACAATGAACAAAACAAGAGTCCTTGCTTTGTGGAGCTTACAGTCTATTGTGGAGAGACAAACACTAATCACAATAAATAAATAAAGTATATCAGGTGGTGATCAGTGCTTTGTAGGAAAACACAACACATAAAGTAGGATAAGGGGATAGAAAGTGCTGGTGAATGGGGCTATTTTAGATATGTTTGTCAGGGAATGCTTCTCTAGGAAGGTGACATTTGAGCCTACTGGAAGTGGGTGGGCAAGTCATCAGATTATCTGGGAAGAAGAATGTTCTAGACAGTGAGACTAGCAAGTACAAAGGCTCTGAAGAGGGGGGATACATGACATGTTTAAGGAACAGCAAGGAGGCCAGTGTGGCTGGAGAACAGTGAGTGATGGGGAAAGTGATAGGAGGCAAGGTCAGAGAGATGATGGGGACAAGACTGTGTAAAGAACTTTGGGCCACAGTGAGGGCTTTGGCTTTTATTCTGAGGGAGCCGGGAGCCATGGGAGAATTTTGAGCAAAGGAGGGACATGATCTGATATGGATTTTAAAAAGAATTTCAGCGAGTTCCCTGTGGTTAAGACTCCACACTTCCAATGCAGGAGGCACATGTTTGATCCCTGGTTGGGGAACTAAGATCCCACATGCCATGTGGCGCAGCCAAAAAATTAAAAAGTTTTTTAAAAAAAGAATTTCAGAGAAGAACTAGTAATGGTATTAGAACACCAGGCACAGGAAAAAAAAACAGACAACTACTAGGAAAACAAAAAGGTATACAACAGAGGATATGTAATCAGACTGTACTATGTTGTTTGGATGTGAACAATATTTACAATGCCATACTTAGACAAACAGCGATTACTGGCTGAACAAAAATTGTATAACATGTTTAAAGAAATAATAAATGCAACCACAAAGATGAGCAAGCAACAAGAGACTATTAGGGATGACAAGGAAGATTAGAAAGTGAAATATATGAAGTTTGTACAAATGAAAAATACAATTCTTGAAATAAAAAACTCAGTGGACAGATTAAACAGCAGATCAGACAGAGCTGAAGAGAGAATCAATAAGCTGAAAGATATATCTGAAGAAATTGCCTAGAATGAAGTGCAGGAAGACAAGAAGATAGAAAATATCAATGAAATGTTACGAGATATGGAAGATAGAATGAGGCGGTCCAAAATATGACCAACTGAATTCTGAGAAAGAAAATATAGAAAGAATGGAAGAAAGGCAATATTTGAAGAGATAATGGCTGAGAATTTTCCAGAAATTATGAAAAACATGAATCCAGAGGCATAAAGCACATTTCCAAAGTAGAATAATAAAAAAGAAATACATACCTAAACATTGATAGAATGAAACTGCAGAACCCCCTGAATATACCCCTCCCCTCCAAGAAAAAGAGAGAGAGAAAAGTAGTCAGAATATAAGAAAACAAAAACACCTACAAAAAACAGAAATTAGACTGATAGTGGACTTCTAATATTACCTATAACAACCTACCTTTTAAGAATGAGAATAAATACATTTACATATAACAGAGACTAGGAGAATTTAACACCAACAGATATGTACTAAAAGAGTATCTAAACATCGTAATCATAATGAAGGAAAATGATCCCAGAACAATGTTCTGAGATGCAAGAATGTATGCATGTAAATCCAAACACATACCATCTATATAAATTAATACTAATGATGATATATTAGTGAGGTCAGGGGAAGAAGGAACAAACTAACACACTCAAAAAAATAACATGTGGTCAAGATAGGAATGACTAGAGTTGAAGGTTCTAAGGTTCCTGCACTCTTTAAGAGGGAGGTTAAAATACTGTTTAACTTTAAACCTTGTAAGTTAAACATGCATGGTAAAATTTCAAGGATAACCACAGAAAGAAAGGAAAAAGAATAGGTAAATTCCAAACAGTAGGGAGGAAAAAAAATGATTAAGAAAGCAAACAAACAAATTTCAAAACTAAAAAGCAGGCCAAAAAAAAGAGAAAAATGAAGCATCGAAAAGGTGGTGGTAGGAAATAGAAATAAAAAAGTATGATGGGGGCTTCCCTGGTGGTGCAGTGGTTGAGAGTCTGCTTGCCGATGCAAGGGACATGGGTTCGTGCCCCGGTCCAGGAAGATCCCACATGCCGCAGAGCGGCTGGGCCCGTAAGCCATGGCTGCTGAGCCTGCGCGTCCGGAGCCTGTGCTCCTTAATGGGAGAGGCCACAACAGTGAGAGGCCCGTGTATCGCAAAAAAAAAAAAAAAAAAAAAAAAAGTATGATGGTAGAAACAAGTCCAAATATATCACAATAAGTGTAAACAGACTAAACTTGACCATTAAAAGACAGAGATTATTATATTAGATGTTTTAAAAGGTCCAACTATATGCCATTTCCAAGAGATATGATTAAAGCGTAAAGGCATGAAAACGTTGAAAAGTAAAAGGATGGAAAATTATATACCACACAAATCCTAAGAAGAAGAAAAGTTTGTGTTGCTATATTCATGTAAGATAAAATAGACTTCAAGGAAAAAATGCATTATCAGAAATAGAGAGGGTCATTACATGTTTACCAGGAATATATAACAATTCTCATTTTGAATATTCCTAATAAAATACCCTCAAAATAAGTAAAAGAAAAAAAAAGAACTACAAGGAGAAATAGACAAATCCACCATCATAACTGCATATTAACATACCTTATAATTATTGGTATATTACAACCAAAAAATCAGTTTAGATATAGAAAATGTGAACAATACGATTAACAAATTTGATAACAGACTTATGTGGAACTCTGTATTCAACAGTTAGAGAACATACATTCTTATAAATCACATAGGAAACATTAAAAAATACTGATCACCTATTAAGCCATAAAACAAGTCTCAATAAATTTCAGAATTTTTATCACACAGATCACATACTCTGACCATAATGCAATTAAAGATAGAGTTCAATAACATAAAGATAAACTTTAAAATCTCTAAACATTTAGAAACACACTTCTATATAACTTGCAGGTCAAAGAAGTAACCATGATGGAAATGCTGAAATACTTGGAACTGAACAGTAATGAAATATGACATGGCTGAACTTGTAGAAAAGCAGTAGTTAGAGGGAAAGTTACGTCCTTAAATGTGCAAAGTAGAAAACAAGAAAGACTGAAAATTAATAAGGCTGGTGTCCAATTTAAGAAATTAGAAAAATAACAACAAAATAAATCCAAAAAATGTGGAAGGAAGGAGATCAAAAAAGATAAGAGCAGAAATTAAAGAAATAGAAAACAAAGACAAAATAGAGAGGAGCAACAAAGCCAAAAGTTGGTTCTTTGAAAAGACTAGTAAAATAGACAAACCTCTGGTGAGATTGATCAAGAAAAAAAGTGAGAAGGCACAAATAACCAATATCAGCAATGAAAAAGGAGACATAACTACAGATTGTATACAGCAGAGAATAAAAAAATAAGGAAACTATGCCAATAAACTTGAGAAGGCGGACAAAATGCACCAATTCCTAGAAAACTATAACTTACCAAAACTGACTCAAGAAGAAAAAGAAATGCTGACTAGTCCTCTAACTACTAAAGGAATTGAAGCAGTAGTTAAAACTCTTCCTACTAAAAAACAAACAAAGGAACAAAAAACATCAGGAGGGAGAATTTTCCAATTGATATGTGGATGACAGGTAGGTGAAGAAATATTAATCCCCTTAGGCCTGGAAGTGTCCACGTAGGCCTTAAGGCAGTGGAGACCCTAGACAGGCCACTTCTCTCTATGGGCAGCCTCCTGTGGAGATCCTTAGAGGGTGGCCCTTAGTGAAATGGGGTCTGACAAATCCCTCTGCAGTCCCTGCAGGTGGTGAACACGAATGAGTAACATCCAGCACTCAGTTACTGCTCTGTAGTAAATGTGCTAAGCAGGGCCGAAGAGGAGCTCTAAGACTTGGACAGCCTCTTCAGTAGCCAGCTTCTGTAGTCTTCTGCTCACTGAGGACAAGGGGCCTGCGGAGCTGCTGGAGAAGTCTGTGTTCCAGTTGCCAAGAAACACCACACGACCCAAGTTGTGACTGGATGGGGTAGGGTTGGGTGCAAGGAGGCCAAGCAGGGGCTTTTGGAGAGTGTAGCTCCAGGTAGAAGCCCTGAAACTCTGTCTTCGCGAATATCAGATACTTCTATCCATTTGCAGCTGATGAGCCCTTTTAATGGTGTCCAAGCTAGCTGCAGGGTGATGGTTCTAACAATGATGCATGTTCTGCAAATAAGAGCTTTATCATTATTTTGAAATAGTTAATATGAAAGAGTTCAATTGGATTTGAAATCTAATCATATTATCACAAGATATTTTTAACAATATATTTGTCAGTGAAATAAAAAGAAAAGCTGTTAGATATAACTTCACTTTTTAAACATTTTTGAACAATTTAAAAGTTGGTTTGAAATACTTTATCACCTAATTGTACAAAGAAAGATTTGTATTGATGGTGACCATTAAGAATTTGAAGAATACATCATTAAAAAGTCTTGATCAGGATTTTTCTGTAGCCATTTTAAGCATAAAACCTGATATAAAATAAACATGTTATGGAAGCAGATTTCAAGTTTCTCATTCAAAATTTTGAAAATATTTTATTTAGAAGTTTAATATTCACTTAATATTAAAAAGAAAAGACCAAGGTGGTTTTACAGGAGAATTCTACCAAACAGATCATTCCAAAGTCATATAGCATCTTCCAGAATATTGTAAATGAGGAAACATTGACTCATTCTATGATACCAGCAGAACTTGATGCCAAAAGCAAATAAGGATAGCATGAGAAAGGAAAATTAAAGACCAATTTATGGACACAGGTACAGAAATCCTAAACAAAATATTAGCAAACTGAATCTAGTATTGTAGAAAAAGGAAAAGATCACGACCAAGTTATGTTTATACCAGAAATGCAAAGGTAGTCTAACATAAGGAAAATCTATAAATGTCATTTACCACATCATCAGATTATTGGAGGGAAAAAAACATAATCATCCTAAGAAACAGAAAATGTATCTGATAAAAAATTCAACACCCTTTCATGATTTAAAAACAATAACAAAAACTTCTTAGCATGGAGGAACAGGATGGAACTTGCTTAATCTGATAAAAACTGTAGGAATCTACAGCAAATATTGTTCTTACTAGAGAAAAGTTAGTGGTGTTTCCTCTAAAATATCCAACAAGACAAGGATGCCCACTACATCTTTTCTATTCATCACTGTACTGGAGGCCCTGGCCATCTCAGTAAGACAAGAAAAATAAATTAAAAGCATAAAGATTGGAAAGGAAAAAACAAAACTCTCATTATTAATAGCTGATATGGTTGTCAACATAGAAAACACAAAAGAATATGTAGACAACTTAAAAGGAAGCAGGGTTCCTTGAGAAATGGTCGATTCTGGGGTTGGGACTGGGGCAGGAAGATAAAAGATGAGTAGGGAGTATCTTGTAGTGCTGACAAGTAAGGAAGTACTTAAAAACAAAAGGATGGGGCCATGTCAACGGGACACAGAAGCCAACCTAAAAGAGCCCCTGGTGACCAAAGCTGGAACAATTTGAGCCACAAGACAAATAACAGTATTGGATTTATATCTCAAATTATTAAACAAATATGGCATGAGTTCATACTGATATAAACAAGTAACTGAATAAATAAGTAAGTAAATAAAGGAGAAGAAACAAATCTTTTTTACAGAAGAATTCCAAATAATATATGTAATTACATCCCCTTCCAGAGGTGAAGCTTAATTCCTTCCCTTCTTGAGGGTGGGCTAGATTCTTTCAAAGAACAGAGAATGAAAAGGGAAAAAAAATACCAACTTTACAGTGGAGAAACCTGGCAAACACTACCTTAACTAAGTGGTGAAGGTCAACATCACCAGGGATGTCATAGGGATTTCACATACCCCTGATATGATGTGATGAAAAGGGCACTTCAACTCTGTGGTATTCCTTCCAAGAACAACCCCAGTCTAATTATGAGGAAAACTTCAGACAAATCCAAATTGAGGGACATTCTATAGTACATCTCAAAACTGTTAAGCTTATAAAAAACAAGGAGACTAAGAAAATGTCATAGACCATAAGACACTAAAGAGACATGACAACTTAAATGCAATGTGGTATTTGGAATTGGCTCCTAGAACAGAAAAAGGACATTAGTGGGAAAACTGATACATCTATATACAGTCTGAAGTTTAGTTAATAGTAATATACCAATGTTGTTTTCTTAGTTTTGACAAAAATATCACAGCGAAGAGTACACAGGAACTCTCCATACTGTCTCTATTTACTTTTCTATAACTAAAATTATTCTAAAATTAAAAGTTTGCTTAAAGGTAATGAAAGTTTATAAAGCAAGGTGAATGGCTATAATAACAATATAAAAAATTAACTTCATTTCTATATACCTGCAAAAGAGATAAAACACATTAAATAACAAGATCTCATTCATAATAGCAGTAAAAGCCATAAATACCAAGGAAAAAAATCTAACACAAGATATGCAAGACCTTATACAGAAAATTATAAAGTTCTACCAAAAGACATTCAATAATTTATTTAAAATGAAAGGATACATCATGTTTATAGCTAGGAAGACTCAACATCATAAACATATCAATTCTCTTCAAACTGATCTACAGATTTATTTCAATTCCAATATTTCTGTAGAACACGACAAGCTTATTCTGAAATGTGCTTGAAATAACAAAGGGCCAAGAATATATGATACTCCTGAAGAAAAATATGATGGGAAGATTTTGCTCTATCAAATATCAAGATTCTTTACGAAGCTAAAGTAATTAAAGGTAGTGTGGTACTGATTCAGGGGCAAAAAGTTGGCCAGTAGCAGAGATCCCAGAAACAGACCTACACAGATGTGAAACTTTGATGTATGATAGAAGTGGCACTTCAGATAATTAGGCTATCTGTGGGGAAAATAACACAACTGGGTTCCTATCTCATAATTTACACTACACAAAAATCAATTCCAGTTAGATTAAGGACTTAAAAGTTAAAGGTAAACCTTTAAACTTTTATTAGAAGAAAATAAAGAATATCTTCATGACCATAGGTTAGGGAAGACAACACACAAAAAGTGCTGGCTACAGAGAAAAAACTGAATTGTTCAACTCATTTAAAATTAGGAATTTCTGCTCATGCAAAGACACTATAAAGAAAAAAAAGGCCACAAACTGAGAGAAGATATTCACATATAACTGACAAATGAGGAGTATGCAAATAATTAAATAACTTCTGTAAATCAATAAAAATTATAAAAATATCAATTTTTAAAATGGACAAAAGATATTAACAGTCATTGCACAGAAGAAGAAACATGTGTGGCCAATAAACGTGAAAAGATGCTCAATTATATTAGTAATTTGAAAAATGCTAATTAAGTCCACAAAGACTCACTATAATGACAAAAAATTAAAAGTGGCACAATATCAAGTATTAATAAGGTGTATATGAATCAATGGGACCTCTTACAAATTGCTGAAAGGTGTGTAAATTGGTACCAAGAGTTTAAAATACATTTTGGCATAATCCCGTCAAGCTGAATGTTTACATGTCTTATTAACCAGCAATTCCATACATAGGTATATACCTTAGAAAAATGGGTGTCCATGTGTACAAGGAGACATGTACAAGAATGTTCATAATAGCACTTTTTATAAGAGCAAAAAGCTAGAAATGACCCAAATGTCCCTCAACAGGTAGATGGGTGAATAATTTAAGGTCACCCAATGAAATATCATATGGCATTGAGAATGAACAAGCTACAGCTACATGCAAAACAGGTGAATCTTGGAAACACGATGATGAATGAAAAAAGTAAGTCACAGAAGACCACATACAGTATGATACTATTTTTTTCAGAGCTCACAACCAAGCCAAAACCACAATGTATTGGTTAAGCATCTCCACAAATATGAAAAAAAATCAAAAAGAGCAAGGGAATGTTAAACACAAGACTTAGGAGAGTGGTAATTTCTGGCAGGAGGGGTGGGAAATGGGACTGAAAATGACACAGGGATAGATGCTATCATTAATGCTGTTCTTGGGCGGGGTTGGAGTTCCTGGGTTTTCATTATCTCTATAACTTATGTACATAATGTATATATTCTTTTATTATACGTGTAAGATATTTTATATGAACAAACAGGGAATGGGAGAAGAGTAGGAAGAAGTGAAGAATGACAACTCTTTTGAAGAGTTTTGTTGTTAGAGGAATAGAGAAATAAAGCCATATTTGCAAGGGGATGTGGGATGAAGAGAGTTTTACATTTTTTAAAGATGGGAGCAACAGGAGATCAATGGAATGGCAGAGTGAGGACTTTGGTGAGCCAGCTATCCCTCTAAGACAATGAAAATAAGGGCAAACAAACTAAAATCAATCAGTTCAAAACTCTGGCAATTAACAAAGGCATAGAATGAAGTGAAAATCATTGATCCAAGAGAAACGACTGAATCTTGGCAAGACAGCAGGTTCTGTGCCTTTTTTGTGTGTGACATTTTAACTTGTGGCTATTCCCATCCTCCCTCCCTCTCCAGCTTAGTGGTTCAGTAGCCAAAAGCTAAATAAATTCCAGAAAACAGGGAGATGCCTTGGTCAGGAATTTAAAAGGAAATCCTAGAGAATGAGACAACTATAGAGAACTCTGAAAAGTTCTGACATATTCCTGGGACTCTAAAGGGCTGTGCACAAGAAAGAGCTGGAAGAGGAGAGGGCCCAAGTCATTACTTATGGCTGACTGTGAGGCCCTGTGCAAGCAGAAAGTGAGAACTCAGGCTGGCCTATAATCTGGCTGAAGTTTGAAGGCATGCCTTCTTACACAGACCCCCTTGGCAGAGGGTAGAAGACATATAGACAAGGTATTTAAGGACATCTGACCAATCACTGGCTGACCACCAAATTATACTTACCAGGTGTGACCCCTAGGAATCCAGGCTTAAAAATAAAAACAAGATCTTTTTTAAAAAAAAAGTTAGCAGAGAACTCAGAGGCCACATAATGCAGGGAATATAGAATCCACAGAATTAGTCAAGAAAAGTTGCCAAACAAATAAATGACAACAAGAACAATAACAACAACCACACAACACACACACACACACACACACACACACACACACACACACACACCAGAACAACAAACCTTGAGGGTGGAAGAGTCTGATACTAGAGTTGTTAGAGGAGAATATCTAAAATGTCCA